TCAGCAGAAACCGTTCTCTGCAACTTGAAGGATACCCAGAGGAAAAGAAAAACATGCCAAGATGTAGCACAGGTTGAAGGACAGAAAGCAACAGAAGAATAAGAAAAATGGTACATTAAGCTAAGGGTGACAGGCAAATAAGATTTAGTTTGAAGGCGAACACAGCTAGAGTAGGTGCTCCAACTCATGGTAGATGACTGTGACAGAAACTGAGAGAATGGTGTATGGTTTGACCTTCCACGTTTCAACACGAGAAAAAGTGAATGACAGTTCTTCAGCCCTCTTCAAGAATGGTAAATCTAGAAACACTTCTTGTCTCCAGTGTCTGTGGAACACAATCACCCACAGCTTGAATTTGATACTATTCTGAAATGAAAATGTTAAATAATTTTACATTTTTGAAACTGATTTACACATACTCCTGAGAAAATAATAATTTAAGATTAGTGATAAGCAAATACATAAGAATAATTAACTACACATTTCTTTAATTATAATTTATTTGTTTAAAAAATAGAAAAGTAATTCATAGCTTCAAAAATAGACTTTTGACCCCCTTTTAACTAATAATAATAGGATTTAACAATGGGCTTGAAAATACTAATGTTACAGATTTTTACAAGTTAGATAGCATACCTGTAACTACTTTTAATGTATTTGTATTACCCATGACAGATAATGCAGCTTTTGGTCTTCATAGAATTTTTAAAAAAATTGAGCTACAAGCTAGATAGGAACCATCAGCTACAAAAATCCTGGATTTTTTTTTTTTTTAATGGAGTACTGAAAGCCTATTTGCTTTTGTATTTCATCTTAATTTAGTGCACAAAAATGTCATCACAGAGCTGGGTCAAATGCTTCCTTAGAAAGTCAACCAAAAGGTGGTAACAGGCTGCTAATGAGAAAGTATCTTTGTACACAATGAAGTTCACCACAACCCGCCCCCCAACAATCATTTTACGTTTCTTAGAAATGCCTAGGGAAGTACGTGTATGTGCCTTCTACCCTTCCTTGATGAATAACATACCAAAGATTCTGAAGATCAGAAAGGAGGTGATTTCCTCAGTAGACAACCCATCACAGGAAAATACTCCCCATCCCTAGTACATGGTGGGATTCAAGCAGCTGGGCCACCCAAAGGAGGTCACTGAAGGGACACAAACGCTGCAGCTGGACTACAGCTGTCACAGGGATGATATGAAGGTTCATTATGGTGTGGTAAGTAATCTAGCAGCAAGGGGGTAACAAGTACCATATAACTTTTTATATATATATATACACACACCCCGTCACAAATTTCAGTTATCCTTTTTACTGTCCTGTTAGTGTCAAGATCTTATAAGTATGAATTAAAACATTTTAATTTTTCTATAATTAAAATGTCGATTTCTACCCGTGCAGGGAGCGTTTCATTGCTTGTAGCCAGGTATCCATAGCAGGTTTGTATTCCTCCAAGTCCTTCTGGGGCTCAAAAACTGCTTCTATTCGCCTTAGCTTCTTGAGTTGTTCCTTGTCAGTCCAAAATCCTATAAACAGAAAGTTCATTCTCAAGCTCAGCTGCAAATATGTTATTTTTGCGTTGTTTTAATTTGTTTCCAAGAGATCCAAAGCAAAAACACAGTGAAGAATCATGACAGCTTTTCTTTACTCAACCAACAACTTTCTCAGAGGGAAGCATATTTTTAACATTGTGAAACTCCTTTCCAATAGCATCCATTTGTTTGGAATCCTGACAACAGCACATCTGCTTAACTGGGATGGTTTCCAAGGAACAGCTCTGGTACACTGAAGTTCCCTTAGGTTTCATCCACACTGCGCTTTTGGCTGCAGGTCCCTCTCAATGAAGAAGGGCCACAGAAACCAAGACTTAGCACTAGTTGATTTCCTACTGTCTTAAAAATTGCGTAAGTGGCAGAAATCAGCTGGTGTTATGTAGTCAGATTAATTTATGCTATTGAATCGTTCTTGTCTATCAAGGGCTGCGGCTTTCTTACAGTTTTAATTCCTGAATAAGTCTCACCTGAGCATATAGTTTTTTTCTTACAGTTGTGTTATTTACGTATCAAAGCAATTGAAGGAAGTTAATATCCACCTACAAAATATACTTCCATTACGCAAAATCATCGACAGTTTGTAGTTTTAAGTCTGGTTAATTATATACAACAGTTCTGTGGGAATAGAGCTGGATTTTTTTCCCTGCTAATAATTTACTTAACTTCCATTGTGTTTATTTCTGTGAAAACCTTAAAGAATAAAAGACTCGGTTCACAGATGACAGGACGCAGCTTCAGTAGGAATGACACGGCTGCACGTCAGCACGGCAGCTTCCTTGTCACGTGATCCATCCCCACCGGGCACCGCTCCAGGCAGTGCAAGTATGGGAAGGGATGCCGAGCGTCCGGGTCAAGAGAGAGGGAGGCAGCAAGATAGGGTTCTCCTCTTCTCCAGCAGAGAAGAAACATCCTCCTAAATGTAAATGAATCTTACAAACATATATGCAGATACTTTTCACATTAAACTCGCTGTCACTATTCATTTATGTAAAACTAAACAAGCGTACAACTGCTCAGCAAATTGGGACATTGGGTTAGAAATACATAAGGTCCTTGATTTGGTTTATGTATGACATTATCATCCGTTTCTGTGGTCCATCAAATACAAGTACATGGGTACAAAGCTCTATACAGAGAAGCATAAACAGTACTTACCTTGGATTCCCACAAAGTAATCCTTCGGGGAGTTTTTACAGTTATTTGAAGTTATGCCCTGTTTTTTTCTGATTTTTTTTCCCTCCATATTTACAAACATGCATTATGAAGGGAAGAACAAAACCTCTTTAAATGTGTACATACCTGAAGCAAGGCCTGCTAGAAAAGCTGCACCAAGACTAGACATGTCTGCATTTGCAGGTTTTTCTATTTTCTTATTAATTAAGTCTGAAGTCATCTGCATGACAAAACTATTATTACTGACACCTCCGTCAGCTCTACAGGGAGAGGGGAAGAAGAAGTTAAAAAAAACGTGTTTAGTTCAAATGCTTATTGCCAACATTTCAGAAAACAACTTCTGGGGTTCCACACCTATGCATAAATCTTCCTGTCACTCATGCACAAATGCACTTCCATTTTATGGGCAAATTTAGAGGCCAGCACAAAGCGCCTAGAAAAAAAAAAGAATGCCTATAAACTAGGGGAGGAATGGTAGACAGACAGGGACACAAGACAGACACATTATCAAAAGCTTTGAAAGCTCTGTCTTCTAAAACTATACATCATCCTGGTTGAAATGTTACCTTTACATAGTTATCACCACAACGTGACAACAGTCAAAACCATTACATTAAACAAACCCTTTCAAGTGTTCTCAGATCTGGGAAAGTACTTTTTTCATTACTACCAAATCTTTGTATTAGTTAGCTAAAATGCCTTCACAGTTGCTTCTTTTTATGAGGAAGATGAGAACGAGGCTTCCATCTATCTATTTTCCTAATTGCATCGTGTTGGAGACCCTTTTAATGGAGGAAACTAGAACTTATCCGTGCTGATCTTTAATCATCTGAGAGTGATTACTAGTGGTGCAAAGTAATCACTCTTGCAAACAAAAAATAACTACAACAAAAAGCAATCTCTGAATTGTCATAGATTGGTTTGTTATACTGTTGGGCTCCAATACCAGCCAGGTATGGAGCTGCTGTTCTATCAGATGTGGTGCAGTAAAGACACCTACTGTTTATTACTATGGAAAGTGTTAGGTAATAAAACTTAACAGTTGCTTAGAAATCTTCAAATATGCCAGCTGAAACCTTCTCTGCTACGTGATGCCTCAGAAAACTTTTGCATGAATGTTTTGGCTGTTTCTGAAAGTAAAATCAGGAGAGACTGCCTGATTGGTGATGTTACAGGGTTTTGCTTGTTTGTACGTAGAGTTAAGCAGGGTTACCACCTCTACACGATGGCATAAAAACCTTTAACTGGCAAAGTCACTTTCCTAATGCCAGTGACATGCATTTGCCTTCTGTAAAAATAAGGCATCTATTTGATTGAAGTTACAAGGGGAAAAAAGAAAGAAAATTTCCAAATACTCAGTTTTACATCTCGCTAAATTTTGCTGCTAGATCCTTTGAAGATTCAGTCTGCTACATCATCTAGCTCAAAGTTCCTGCATGCCATTTGCCTGGGGATGTGCTATTTCACAGAACAAGTAAATAGGTGATATCCCAGGGCTCCAGGATCATCCTTGTAAAGGCTGCCGCAGGCTGCTACAAGGTAGGACGTGAGGACTAAAACTGAGGCTTCCCTCTCTGTGCTTTCCTTGATGGTGTCGAGACAAGCAAAGAGAAGTAATAGGAATGTCGAGGACTAATGAAAATGACAACTTTGTAGGAGCCTGTAGGAGCCAGAGATGGGGAAGAAAGGAGGGATGCAGGACAATAGCTAAAAAGGGAACGAACATATTTATGGGATAAAAACAACAACAACGAAAACATCAAAAGTAATGGATAGATACTAAAGATGTGCAGACGAAAGGATGGGAGAGCAGTTTACAACCCTACTGAAAAAGCCATTACGTGTATCTCATTATCTTCTAATCCACAAGCTGAATTGCTACTGATCGTAGTTAACTATTATAGTCACTATATGAAACAGCAATTTTCTATTAATGAATAAAACAGAACATGATCATACAATTTAAAGTTTACATTACAACATAAATGGGATCAGAATTCTAGTGTTCCCTAGGCAGTACTTCCACACTTCCCATTTTTCAGTTCACCGTCTTAACATGACTTCTCAAATTTTGGATGCAATTGTCTATGTAAAAAAGCTTCCTAAGGAACCTAAAATTCCAATACTTTTGATCTTTTCCTCTCCATTAAAACCCCAACCCTGGCTGTTCCTTTATCTTTGCCTACTCTGTCCCAGTACATGATGGAAGACAGAAATTTTTACCTCCCCCCACCTTGTACTTTCACCTTTCTTCACTACTAAAAATTCTGATTTCTCAACTGTCTATGTGCCTGCCAGTCCACTTCTTCCTTTGCATGGGTATCAGGAAAAAAAACACAAGAGGGACAGGAATGCTCTCTTCTCTGTTCTTGACCGTGGTATCACGATGACCCCTGGCTGCAAGAAGGAGAAATTTTGGAGAGCTTTCTCAGCGTGGGAGGGCTTGAGGCTCTAAGACAACTGGTGCGCCCAAACCAAGTACCTACCGTAATGTGCAATGTAGTTTTTCCAGCAACACAGAATTCAGCTAAATTTTTCCAAGACATTGTGAAAAGCATATTCTAGGGATCACGGCTACCTCACTAAATTTGATTTGCTTCTTCAAAGACTGAAGCAAAACCAATGTCTTAACAATTGAATTGTAAAAGTATTCTTCCTCTTTCCTTCACAAATAGATCCAGTTTTAACTGATGTCTTCAAAAAATATTCAGTCTGTGACAGACCCAGCACAAAAAAATTTCAGTATGAAAGAATGATAATAAAGCATAGAATTACCTTTGTGGTAGGCATTGCTATATGCACTCTAGTGCTACCTGAAAACATGAATTTGCCTTTTTTTTTTTTAAATAATTAGAGCAATTCATTACTCACCTACTGACAACCACCAATGCCCATAGTTTAATTAAGAACCAACCCTTTTGTGGGTAGAACTGCCCACTTAAGTTACATTAACATTTGATTTGGTAATCATCTATTTCTTAGCAGCAGAATTTTTACAGTAAGATAAAATGCGTAATAAAGGTCACACCTATTTAAAAATCAATCTCCCATATATCAAATTTAAAAGTTACACGGAACTTACCGAATAGTTTGAAGAGGAATGCGTACCTTCTTCACAATGATATCATAAAGCTGTTTGTTTCTTTAAAAGAATATTTAGTTGAATTAAGCATTATATATTCCACAAAGTGTTTCCAGTATCTACGTAGTCAGAAAATAAAATACAAGGCAAAAAATGCCTCAGTTGTGTCAGAACTGCTGCAGTAGCTAACAAGTTTCCAGAATGCATAAATTAAAAAAAAAAAAGGGGGGGAGGGGAAAGCCTGAAACTGGTCTTTGTTACACATCATTACAAAGGCACGAGTATGGCTAAATCAGGGCCCGTTCTATAGCAAGTCACTGCAGAAGGTACATTTTTCCCACCTGGAATTGCTGATAGGTTTCTACAGACAAGATGCAATTGTTGATATAACAAGTGGTTTAGAGTGAGGAAAGTAGGCTGACCGAGTGTTAATCGGAGTTCATCCAGCTGTTCTTCAAAGGGAACATCTGAAGGCTGCAAGGTTGACTTGTTCTGAAACTGTTTCATTTAACAGGAGAAAGTCTAAACATAAAGGATCTCTACCCTTTTCTAGTTAGGTATTTGAATGAGATGAGATTCTCGACATCCCTGTTTTCAAGAGACACATGCTTCAGTTCAGGAATTACTGCATCTCACGTTCCTCTTACAGCGCAGAAAAAAATGCATTAGAAACAGTTGCAGCAATTCCAAATGCTACCTTCCTCCAGACATCCTTTTTGCCTCTTTGCAGGAGGTTATTATGCCCAAAGCAGAGCTGGTGACTAGATGGAAGGAATCATATGGGTGTTCCCTAATTGGCCACAATGCAGTGTCAGCCAGGCTCAAACCACATTCAAATTCAGTTCGAGGCACGCTGCATGGGTTTGCAAGGCAGAACCAATCTGTTCCACAGGGTCCTACTGATGCGGTATCGTCAGTGACTAGCGGTAACATCTTTAACCTTGACAGTTCGATCTGGAAGTTGTTGTCCATTCACATCTTTAAAGATGTTTAAGATGCCTATTACTGTGTTTTATAAAACACCAAAAAGTCAAACTTTAGCCAAAGAGCCAATATAAAACTTCCAGCTTCAGGGGTACTTTAAAACACAGCTGGAGTGGGCTACAGCTTCTGACAAAACACTGTCAGGAGAGTAAGGACAAACTTTAAACAGAAAACATTTAGAACATGCAGAAAACAATATAATTTAAGAATGCCTATGTGGTTACTTAAAAACTCTCAACTAATAAATATACATGAGTTTATTTGTAAAGTGTTAAAGAAAAAAAAGGAATGCAGCTAAAGCTCCTTTTCAATGTAACAGTAATGAATTACTGCAATTTATATCTTACAAACTGCAGAAGTCCATGCATCCATTTAACTCTGCTGAGCAAAATAAAAGCAAACATAAGAAAATATAAGCAAGATAATTAGCTAAGCAGTACCTGAAAGCTACAGATTCCAATATAGCTCGTACAAGATGGTTTCTGGTAGTGGAAGGTTTCAGCCCCATGAAAGAGGCACATAAATATGGGTCATTCACAGAAACCTGCAGAAAAGATTTCATCATGAGTTTCGTGAATTGTATTTGCAGGCTTTTGAGAAAGGAGTCAAATAGTAAGAAAAAAAAAATAACTTACGACAATTACAGGCAGCATAGTGAAAGGAGAAAATTGAAAACAGTATGTAAGAGGTATATAGTATTATTTTAGCTAACTCAGTGAACAGTTTAAATAGCTTCTTTCAACAGGAAAAAGGTTTAAGTGACTTCTTCCAAATCTGACATACTAAATAACACTAATCTGTATGACTTCCCTTTAAAATACATATAGCGTACACTTTAAGTGTCTAGGACAGGGCACACTGATATTGCTGTTCTCTAGCAAGATTTCACACACACACTTTTTTTTTTTTTAAACACTCCTGAACTGCTGAAAGAAAGATGAACTGACTTTTAAAAGTAACACTGAAAAGGATGGTAATACTTCTTATTAGTTTATACTACAGCCTGTTTTTCACCGATAAACAGAGTCCAACTAAAATTCTAATGGTCACTAAGTTGTCTTTTTTTTTGCAGGAGAACTGGAGGTTCGATTGATGAATCTCCTCTCCACCCCTCCACTCCACTGATGAACTTTATCACAAAATATTAATTTGCTGGTCCGTACCTGTTTTGTGACAATGTTAAATCTTATTTTCACTGTAGACAGTAATTTTTAAATTGAAACAATCCTTTCCAGTTGTATTGTGCTAAATATCAACTATGACAACACTTACCAGAAGTTTGAATTTCATGCTTATAAAATATACACACGCATATTTATAAAGTAAATTAAGAAAATGCTAACATACGTTAAAAAAAAAAAACAACCCAAGACATATGGATAGGTACATACAGCCAAAAGGAAAACTGGCATTTTGCAGAAATTCCTGAACAGAAGTAGCTTCTGCATTACACTAAAAGAAAATATTCTTTTTTTCCCATATACAAGTACCCTTCCCATTCTAAGAATGGAACCACTTGTCCAGCCCAGTAGCATAATACAGATCCATGGCTTCCAAGTTTACGGATTTTCATATACAGGATAATAAACTAAAAAGCATAGACTCATATTCTACATAAGGGTGAGTATCTTAAAAGAATCAATCATTAAAAAAAAGAAAAAAGTAGCAGTGCATATATATGCATACACCCCAATGAAGAGTCCTAAGTTTTTGCTGTTACTACCAACCACAGCAAATTAACCCTGGAAACCCCCGTTTCTGGCAGAATGAGTAAGAGGAAGAATGACTAATGCACATATTCACTCAATTTCAAATACACGTTCACAACGATGCTCCTCTCAGTGCGCTGCATCACAGCAGTAGAATCCAGTAAGAAACAAACTTGGTTGTTATTGCCTTAATATGGACGAGTAGAGAAACATTTTACTCTGTGTAGGAAATTAGTTTAAGTTCCCACTGACTGGAAAAGGGGAAACATAACCCCCATTTTTAAAAAGAGAAAAAAGGAAGACCCAGGGAACTGCAGGCCAGTCAGTCTCACCTCTGTGCCTGGGAAGATCATGGAACAGATCCTCCTGGAAGCTATGCTAAGGCACATGGAGGACAGGGAGGTGATTTGAGACAGCCAGCATGGCTTCACCAAGGGCAAGTCCTGCCTCACCAACCTAGTGGCCTTCTCTGATGGAGTGACTACA